CTGCTGCTGTCTAGCTTAAAACTGAGACAGTGTGTGTGTGTAATATGTATACACGTGCATATTCATAAAAACTGCATTAGTTAGGTTATGCTGCAGCCAATCCAGGTGGCTTGAAATAGTGAAAGATTTTTTTCTCCCTATGTGGCCATGGTAGATCAGCAAGGGAGCCCTACTCATGTCACTCAATGATCCAGGCTGATGGAAAAGCCACTTCTTGTTCACTACTGGTCACCAGGCTCAGAGGGAAAAGAAGTCCAGAGGGCCTCTCATTAGCAGTTAAATACAATAGCTCCAAAATGACTCATATTGCTTATTTCACAACATGATGGCCAGAACTAGTCCTTTAGTCCCACGTAGCTACGCAGGGTAAGGAAACACAGCACTGCCTGTGCCAGGGAGACCACTGAAAATATTGATAAACAGCACCATCCTTTTGATCATCAGATACTCAGTCTACTCTCTCTCACAGGCAAAATACACTCACTTCCTCCCCACAGTAAGGGAACCCCAAGGTCCTCACCAGTCATGGCATCAAGCTTGAAGTCCAGGATCTCTGAGTGAGGGCGTGATGACTAGTGGTCTGTTCATAAGGAGATGATGCCCTTTTCGATCATAGAACTATGAAGGAAATTGACAGATAGTTTGTTGAGCTCACATACAATGTACAATGGTGACTAGCAACAGAATGGTAAAAAATAAATACTCCCCTTTGAAAGGGGGAAGAACAGGAGCATTTAGTGGACGGCAGCAAATTCTGCAGTTCCTCTGAGCAGTCACTGAGAGGGCCTTTCCAGGGGTGGGGAATGATGTGGAAGAAACCCCAACTTGAGTCCTTAGCTCTTTAGTAGTAGTTCACTTGTCTGTTTTTATTTTGTTTTTGTTTTTGTTTTTGTTTTTGTTTTCTTTTGCTCTGTAGCTAATCCTCTTTGACCTCCTCCTTCTCCTTCTTTCTTTTTTTCCCTGTTATTTCCTATTATGTTCCAAATGGACCATAGGACGATTCCCTTTCAGGAGGATGAACAGCTTTCTTAGCCCACTTCCTGCCATAGATGCTTGAGAACCCAAAGGTCATTTTAATAAGTCTTAAGCCCAGGCTGGTGGTTCTTTTGGCTGTATAACTCTCAAAAACTTGGTTGGCTTTTTATTTCTTTGTTTCTAGTCAGTTCCGTGTGCCCTAGCTGCATTCACAGTTCTCTTCTAACCATGCTTCATAGATTTGCTGCGTGTCCCTGCCTTAGTGGTCCCATACTTCTTCCTTGACCTGATTTTGAGTACAGATATTTCTGCTATAATGCCATATATGCTTTCCTGAATTCTACAGAATTGTACACCAAAATAAACAGGACTTAAGGGAAAAATAGGATTGGGCAGACCACTCAAAAACTGAAACACTGTAACCAGTGCACTAATAAGAACAAAATTAATTAAAATAAAACAGTAGCATATTACATGTCTACTGGCACATGCACTCAGTGTCAATCAGTTGAAGCTTTACGGACTCAGTCCCTTGGTTGGTTGTTTCCTCCTCTGAGGTTTTGGGGTCTTGAAGACATTTACTTACAATAGAGACTAGTCTCATTACAATAAAAAATTTGATCTGTGCTATGGTGTAGGCTTCAGCAATCAAAAACTTTTTTTCTTTTTGAAACACAGGAGGAGAAACATACCCTCAGCTTCACTGGATCTAAAGTAGAAAGCGCAGTGGTTCAAGAAGTTGCTGGACCAGCCACAGCTTGTGTTAAAGGAGGATGCAGAAGTGGGATGGTTAGCTTTGTTCTTAATGTCCTCATAGATTGCTCAGGCTTTCTCTTTAACTGTGGGGATGCTTTCTCCTGATCACATCAAACAGGGAGATGGTGTACAAACCAACATGACTTCTGTGTTACGCTGACATCATTTTCATATGTACTAATCATATTTGAACTATTTGACGTCAGAGAAATATGCTTTGTAGCAAAATAGATGAAGAGACTACTTTGGTGAGAGAACCTCTCTTTAGTCTCTTTTTAGGAAAGCTGTTTTATTCAGCACCTCTGATCAATTCGGAGGTTTTATCAGTGATTGTGAAGACCAAATCTTTGACTTGATCTTGCCTCAAGACTGAATTCTAATCAGCATTTGTAGCTCAGAGATCTTCTTTTTTGTGTTAAATGCTTGCTTTTTCTAACTGTACGGATCACTGACTTTCTGGACTCCTTTTATTCCTGATTGTAAACTGATCCATTCTTTTCTGATTTCATCCTTCTCGTGTAATAATTTGTCAAATACAGCCAACGGTAACCAACACACTCTCTTAATAGTCCGTTTCCCCACCAGAGCTGTAAGTTCTTGTGGCATATTAGCTGTCTTCTGAGATAATTAGGTGATAGTTTCACCACTGCACAGTATGAGTTGCTATCCTTTTAGCCTCCAATAACTTTTTCCTTGCCTCCTTCCACCCAGCTCCTGCGCCTTTGCCATATACGTTAGGTTTTTTGAAGAGGCAGCACCACACTTCTGGATTCCACCTGTATCAGCTGGCATAGACCAGGTTATGCTGCAGTAGTAAACAATGCAAGATCTCAGTGGCTTTAAAAACACATTCTGCATCAGATTACATAAAAAAACAAAATTGAAAAAAAAAATCCACACTCTATGCATGTCCTATAGGTCATTTTGTTGCTCAGGCACCCAGGTTGATAGCAGTGGGAGCAGTCATCACCCCGAGGATTGCTGGTCCCTGTCACGGAAGGAAAAGAGGGCTGGAGGGTCTCATATTGCTTTTCCATGTGTCACTTCTACTTCTGCTGTAGGGGCTGGAAGTAGTCACACAGCCCCACCCAACTACAGGGGAGGGGACAGGGTCAGAAAGTGCAGTCCTGTCACGTGCCCAGAAGGCAGAGGGCCAGGGGCATTTGGGAAGAATGCATTAATGACTACCACAGAGGATTTCCCTTCATTTATTTTCCTTCGCCTTTGTGATTTTTGTTTTACTCCTAGTTTTTGCTGGTTAACTGAATTTTACTGTCCTTCCTCCCTTGCTTAATTTGAGATAATTAATGTGGGTAAGTTTATTTACAGTACTTGTAGTTTACGTTATTTATTTCCATGGGCCATATGTTTGGGCAATACAAAATAAAGCCACTATGATTTTCCTACTTAAAATACAAGGTATGAAACTGATGCAAAAAGGTATGTGGTTACAGGAATAATTGAGTTTAAATTATCTTAGAATGTCATTTATCATAGTAAAATAGACTTTCGGCTTTCGAGTCAGGCAGGTCTGAGGTCAAACCTTGCTTCTGTCATTTAATCTTTGATATGTGATCTTAGACAAATTATTTAACGTCTCAGAGGCATAATTTCCTCTTTTGTAAATACAAAAAGTATAAATATATCTATTCAGATGTCAAGTAAAACATGGTAGCATTTATCACTACTCCTTTCTGAAATTCTAAAATGAAAGTAAAATAATTTTTAAATTTTTATTTTTAAAATTTGGGGGGGCGGTAATTAGGTTTATTTATTTATTTGTTTATTTATTTAATGGAGGTTGTGGGGGTTGCATGCTAGGTATGCACTCTACCACTGAACTGTACCCTCCTAAAATAATTTTTTTAAGATAAAATCCATAAGGAGAGAAAATGGATGAGAGATAATAAAAGGAATGATAGCAATAGTTGTGAATTATATATTATAATCATGATAGTGTAAGCAATAAATACTGATTTCACCAAAAAACTTGTGAAACAACTATATTGGAAGGATGAAAGGGGAGTTGGGAGCAGTAAGGTAAGAAAACTTTAGTGGGAGACAAGTGGTAATGTCTAAAATTGAAAAAAAAGTCAAGAAATAGAAATAGAATCACCTTGTTTAGAAATATGGACGTAAGTACAAGGGGAAAGGGAAGTGGAGCAGCTGAAATGAACACTGGTCTCAGGTATGGGACTCAGATGAATGGAGCAGGCAGAAAATGGCTGTTTGGTTATAAACCTTGCAGTATATTTGATCTGTAAAAGTATGTGTGCTTTTTTTTAAGTGATTACTTTGATAAAAAAAATTAAAAATAAGTTTAAAAATCAACCCCTAGGTTTTGTGGTGGGTGTTAAGATAGAAATAATAAATAATAAGCATGTTAACAGTGCCTATGCACATAGCAGGTATCCAGTAAATACTGGTTTCCTTCCTTTTGTCAATTAGGCAGGGTATGCGCTTGCAGTAATACGCATATGACTCAGAGGTTAGGTGGTTGGCTAAGCAGCAATGTGAGGTATGTCACAAAGCAAATTATGTACCCTTCTAATCTTTTTTTTAATGAATGGTTTTATTTTTCTTGGAACCGTATCAACCCTATGGTTACTGTTTCTTAGAATTTAGATTTCTGTGCAACTGACACATGAAAAGTCATCTGGTTATTGAGTTGATCTATAGAGCTGTGCATGGAATGAATTTTAAAATACTTAGAAACTTTGGAATTGCTCTAATAAACCTAAAAACAATAATATCTATACCTAGATTATAAATTATTTAAGGCCAGGGACATTTCTCTCTCTTCTATTGTTACGTCAGTTAGCTGCTTTATTTTCCTCGTCCACAGTGCCTAGCCCACTACCAACTTTATTCTGTGAGCTCTCACTGTGACAGATGGTGGTGACTGATGTTGAAAAGAAAGCCAGCCACCATGATGTTCTTGTGTGTTTCATGGACGGCACATATTGTGTAACTAGACTGTAAACTCCTTGTGGACACAGACCGTATATTCTGCCATATCAGTACATCTGGGATAATGAATGCTACACAGTAGCAGATATTCACTTAGTCATCAAATACATACTGAACACCGAAGTGCCAGTAGTCACTGTGCTTAACTCTGTGGATACCTTGGTGAACTGGATAGATAATGACTCCTGCTTTCTTAAAATTTACATTCTAACAAAATGTTTGTTGAGTTCATGTAACTCAGTAAAATGATGGCCCACACTGAACCATGTAAGCAGAATAAAGAATTGTGTATATAAAGAGTTTAATCACTTTAAGATATATTTGTTGTGTGATATAAACGCATGCTGTAAGAAGGAAATAAGTGGTATCTGATCTTTTTTCTCTTTGCTTTTTCTTTGCAGATAAGATGCTACAAGTCACTTGCAGCTCTCTTCAAAAGAAAAATCACTAGTGCTCTGCTCTTGCCACAATATCAAACCTTTTGACTTATGCTTTGGTGCTGCAACACTGGAAGAATTGCACACAGGTTCCAGGAATACCTTTTTTTCATTTGAGTGATTCCTTGTGGATGGGAAAAGATTTGAGTCTTAATAATTACCCTGTTTTAAAGCTATTTCTCTGTAGTCTGAACTGCTTAATAAATTGGGCCACTTACCCATAAGCCACACAGCCAGTTCTTGTCAGGAGCTGGTTGAAAACTGTGTTGTGCATGTAGCAGGGATGGCACAAGAAGACAGCCGTCGTGGTCAAGTGCCATCTACCTTTTATCATGGTGCCAACCAAGAACTCGACCTGTCCACCAAAGTGTACAAAAGGGAATCAGGAAGTCCTTATTCTGTGTTAGTGGACACCAAGATGAGCAAACCGCATCTCCACGAAACAGAGGAACAGCCGTTTTTCAGGGAGACAAGAGCAGTGTCTGACGTGCATGCTGTTAAAGAAGACCGGGAGAATTCTGATGACACAGAGGAGGAGGAGGAAGAGGAAGTCTCTTACAAAAGGGAGCAGATCATAGTGGAGGTAAACCTTAATAATCAAACATTAAATGTATCTAAAGGGGAAAAGGGTGTCTCTTCTCAGTCCAAAGAGACTCCTGTTCTTAAGACAAGCAGTGAGGAGGAAGAGGAAGAGAGTGAGGAAGAGGCCACTGATGACAGCAATGACTATGGCGAGAACGAAAGGCAGAAGAAAAAGGAGAAGATAGTGGAGAAGGTCAGCGTTACACAAAGGAGAACCAGGAGAGCTGCCTCTGTTGCCGCAGCTGCCACCTCCCCCACTCCCAGAACTACGAGAGGTCGTAGGAAGAGTGTAGAGCCACCTAAGCGTAAGAAGCGGGCCACAAAGGAGCCCAGAGCACCAGTCCAGAAAGCTAAGTGTGAAGAGAAAGAGACTCTGACCTGTGAGAAGTGCCCCAGGGTGTTTAATACTCGCTGGTACCTGGAGAAGCACATGAACGTTACTCATAGGCGCATGCAGATTTGTGATAAGTGTGGCAAGAAGTTTGTCCTGGAAAGTGAGCTGTCCCTTCACCAGCAAACAGACTGTGAAAAAAATATTCAGGTAGGTTTCATCACCAAGAGGGCACACTTTCCAGGATAGAACCTGGCCTTTCAGACTCACCTGGTATCTGCCCAAGAGAATAAATACAATAGAGGCTGAAGGGACAGTTTTCACCAATTTATCTTTTTAAAAGCCCCTGCTTTGGTCTTTTCAAAACCCAGGCTTAACATTTCTTTCAAAAGCATTGAATTTAACTGATGCTGGACTAGTGGGACCCAGGTATATTGGAAGGGGGATCTGTTGCAGGTGATTGACCAGGAGGTAAAGTAAAGTCAACACAGACTTTGCACTGAGATTTACTCTTGTAAGAACTGTAAAATAATTCATTCTGGCATCTTCTTTGTCAAGGTGGGAGATAGCAAGTAAAGTCAGTTGTACAGAGAGGTCCTTTTCTAAGGTTTAAAAGGATGCCAGAGTCTAGTGCAGTTGATGGGGACAAAAACTTTAATGACTCAGACTGGTGGAAATGGAAGATCTCCAGGAGGGAGTTTGCTTTTACCAGTGGAGAGATGACAACACTAAATTTGTCAAGAGGCTGAGCCCATGGGAATATGCAAACTTTAACCAGAGGCTAAGCTGGTGGAAAATGTGGCCCACCTGGCAGTAGGGTTCCGTAATGATACGGTGCAATATTGTTAAGGTCACAAAACCTGGTCTCCAAACCAGGCTGGTGCCTTGAAAGGACTATGCTGTGATAGGTTAAGAGGTTTGCTAATTATATTATGTTGAGTGAATTGTATTATGTTGAGCTATATTGATTTACACATATGAATGCATATTAATATTCATAAAAGGTAAGTCTGTTAATGTCTCCAAAAGATACATAAAATATAAATATTCTGTACCATATTTAATGTAAACTTCCTTCAAAAGATGAAGTTGTTTTGTTTTGATGTGTTTCTTGCAGTACTCCTAAGTTAGAGTGCTCCTTATTTTTCACTTTTCCTTCTTGCTTTTAATCAACACCTGAGATCATTGCTTTACTTTAGAGATTTTTTAAAAATATAAATTACATTTGCTAAGAATTCACTGCTGTTTGATTGTCAGTTGTGACTTGATCTCTGACATGCTTGGTAAATAAAGAAGATTGAATCCTGGCCTCTACCCTCCAGCGCTGCCGGCGCCGCGGCTTGGTTAGGAGTCAGGCCAAGGGGAGGTGGTGCTGTGCTGCACCCTAGGGGCCAAACTTGGTTCTGTAACATTCATTGCTGAAAAGGTGTATACTGATCTTGATGTTTATAGTTTTTTAAAACTTAAACTTGCATTATTAAATACAAGAAAGAAAACATTCAATAAATCCTTTTTCTGTGACTTTCTTCACTATTCCTCACAATAATACATTTAAACTTGTATTTAGTTTTGTTTTAACTCTCTGTATTCCTAATCCTCATGACCTAGTAACAAGTAAAAATTAAAACTGGACCCTGCAAAATGGCTTATAGGATTGTCTGTCCTTTTCTCAAGCAATATCCAACCAGAGGCTTATCTTTGAGACTCTTCTCAGAGTCCTTATTTCCTAAAGTGACAAATAAAGGTTTTCAGAGGTCTTTATTTACAATGAAAACAAGTTCCCTTAACTATCCTAGAGTCTGATGGTTACCTAGAACTTCCTGGTATTGTTTTTAACCAGAAGTATTTTACTTCGATACATGTTACAACACCCTGGGCTAGTCATGATCCGTGGAGCTAGGCGGGTCTGCCCATGTCTGCTGCAGATGCATGTACAAGGCACCTGGAGCTGGGCTCTCGGGGAAAAGGGAGGGGGATACCAGCAGTGAGGGGTTGTATTAAATTCTGCCAGAGGGAAATGTTTAATAGAGAAAATTAGATTAGAGGGAATATAATAAAGTCTTACTAATTTATATTAACGAAGGCTCCAAATGCATTCTTTAAGGTACAAAAGCATTGTTTTACTTCTGTAGATCTAGAACCATTAACGTATGTTTTGTTTTATCATGTTTTATTTATGCTAATTTAAAATTAGTTTGTACTTTCTGGTAAACACCTATTAGCTGTGTAGTGACCCATGTGTAGGAAACAGCTGCTCTTGGTAATCATATATTAAAAACTTGAAAGTTCTTTTCAAAGATACAATATTAATTTCATAAGAAGGAGTCAGTTCTTTGATATTAGTGGAACTTTCCTTTTTGTCTTACTTTTTGTGTGTTTCCATGCTCCCAAAGTGTCTCTAAAAACTTCGTCTTGGAAAATAGAACATAAGGATGTTGGTGTTGTAATCTGGACTTCATGGCGGAATAATTATTAGTCTGGATTCTGGCCTGTGCCACTAATCTAAAGCACACCCATTTTATACCGGCAGGCCCCGTAAATAAAGATTATTTTTATTTATCCTGCTCAGTGTGTTTCCTGTAATAAATCATTCAAGAAACTCTGGTCCCTTCATGAACATATCAAGATTGTCCATGGATATGCAGAAAAGAAATTTTCCTGTGAAATTTGTGAGAAGAAATTCTATACCATGGCTCATGTGCGGAAACACATGGTTGGTAAGTTTTTCTGTTGCTTTTCTCTCACACCTATAATTTTCCCTTGTTTTCTGGTACGTTTTATGCTTTGGATTGGGCAGGATATGAGGAACTGCCTTACTTTAATTGGTTTTGACTTGTTGAAACTAAATACAACATGTCTTCAGTAAGCATCACCAGATTGGATGGTGGAGTCTTCCACACCCAGGTTTCTTTTTAACATTGTTATTTATTTTTTCCTTCAGAACGTTGCTATTAACGCCTCACACATTAGAGCGTTAGAGCGTAGTAAATTAAGATGGTCTGACCACTTTTACAGTAGGATGTATCTCTCTTCCAGTTTGAGCCTTTTGGTGGACTGATTTTGAGCATAAGTGCATTCTGTGTTGCAGCACACACGAAAGACATGCCATTTACATGTGAAACCTGTGGAAAGTCATTCAAACGCAGTATGTCACTCAAGGTGCACTCCTTGCAGCATTCCGGAGAGAAGCCCTTCAGATGTGAGGTAAGGTGTGCACCGCCTGCTAGGCCCAGGCGTGGGGGCTGGCGTGTGTATTTGTGGTGAGCAGTGAGGGAGGTGTGCCTAGTGCAAGGCACAAGGCTGTGTTTCCACAGGCCGTCAGATATGTGCTCTGAGCGCTGTGTGTCATCTCACTGCCAGGTAGAGAGTGGTCATTTTTTAACACACTGTTAACTCTCTTGGATTAGGTTAAACTTGGGACTAACACATGGTGAGTTATTTTACTTTTCTCAGTAATTCAGAGAAGTTGGATATACTTCAGTGATAATTATTTGAGAGATTTTCCCTTTTACTGATAACTCAGCTGGAGAAATATACCAGAACCAAATAGTGACACAAGCAAGTTCTGTTTTGAGTGTGAAAAGTAAACCTAATCTCAGACTGTGTAGGGTGGGCGCAAGTGAAGCTGCTGTGCTTGGCATTCAAAAATCTCCACTGTGTCCAATGCAGAATTGTGACGAGAGGTTTCAGTACAAGTACCAGCTACGCTCCCACATGAGCATCCACATTGGGCACAAACAGTTCATGTGCCAGTGGTGTGGCAAGGATTTCAACATGAAGCAGTACTTCGACGAACACATGAAAACACACACTGGTAAGAATTTCTTGGGAAAGGTACAAATATGTCTCAAGTGCTTGTTGATGATCACCTGTGAGTCTGTTTATTTAAAAATCTAAACCACAAATCTGCATTCTAAGTGCAAATTCCACTTTAAATAAACCTAGTATATAAAAATATGGATTTATAGTACTGAAATACTAGGCTTTCATAACTATTGGAAAAAGAATTGTTAGTGCCTTTTAACTGTGGGTTACTTCAAAGAAATGGACTCTTTATTTGGGGCACAGGATCTCCTGAGATTGTATGAAACTTGTTTTGTGTGTGTGCATATGTTAGTTTTCTAAGGAAAGGGTTCTTTCTGGACCTTTAAAAAAAATGGAGGATATTGACTGCTTTTAATAGAGTACTCTCTCAGTATTCTTAAAATTTGATTGGGTTAGATTTATCAAAAGTCACTACTTTTCACAAACACATCCATTAAAAGAGGTTAAATAATATTTTAACCGCTTTGTGTTTTCAGACATATATGTTTCATAGCACAGATTGGAGTCTTGTAAACATTCAGTCAGCCAGCCTCCAAGAAGCTGTTTAGAGTAACAGCCCCTGTGAACACTGGAGCATCGTATCTCAGTCCAACTTGGCGCTCTGGAATTAGCTGTCTTTGCACAAATTGAATAGTATGAAATATTTTAAAAGTTTCTAAATAAAATCTAATCACAGGATTCCAGGTACTATTAGTCTGCAGAGTGGCAGAGCTAGAAAGTGCCGCAAGCGGTTATCTTGCTTGGCCTGCTTAGCTAGTGGTGAGACATTCTGCCATGGCTGGAGCTCTGCAGTTCCCATTTCTCTATTGAAATCCAAAGAAAAACGCCTGCCTGATGGCAGAAAAGAGCATCTTAGATTTTAAGGGTTAAGATCAAGGAAGAGTCATGAGAGGAGTTCAAATAAATTACATCTCAGGAGGTAATAATAACTTTGAAGCCTAAATGAATAGCAGGATATATCAGAGTGTTTAACAAGTTCTCATCTTATAATCTGGTGGCTCTTGGATAGGCTCTGAGTTCTGAGTCATTTTTAAGATTGCAGTTTTTTGTTAATTCAGCAGGAACCTATGGAACTAGGCAGAAAATAAGTTTTTTTGAAGACAGGAGTTATGTCACATTTACACACAGTGCTTGGCACATAGTAGATACCCAGTAAATGTCTGTCACAAGATTGGAAGGAACCGCCAGCCACTTAAGCCTCTGTCTCTGCTCTCACCTCCTCTTCTCTGCATGTCTCCCTGTGCCTCTTTCTCTCCCATCCTCCCTCTCTCCTTCTCCTGCATTTCTTTCTCTTTCTTCCTTCCCCTTTGTCCTTCTTTGTTTCTTCAGACCCTTAAATGTCCATAATAGGAAACCAAAGTGTATATTCCATGATTAATGTATTCAGTGAATAAAATTTTATGTTGAGTATTCTTCTTTGACCAGATAGGTAAGCTAAACATTTCCCATTTCTTCTAAAGGAATACAGCCATCTAAATTCACTTAAATTTGTATTCTTTTCATTAAAAGAGTAGACAGACTTATTAAAGTGTATTAGAAAATATGAAAATTGAAATGATCTATAATCTTATCACTGAGAGATCACTACTGTTAACATTTAGACATGCATTTAAAAATACCTTTGTTTCTTAATACACATATAGATAAATAACATGCATAAGTATTTATGTGCTCAGATATATAGTAATAAAACAAAAACTGGGTCTTTACACTCTATTATAACCTTTTTATTTTACTGTATTGTGTCATTAACAGCAGTATCATTTTAATGGTTGTGTAATATTCCTTCTTATAAATTTGCTATAGTAGTAGCCATCATTTATTATGCACATATATGCAAGGTCTTTACATTATCTCATTTAATCAATATAACCTTCCAGTAATCCTCTAAAGTAAAGGATGTTATGTCCATTTTATTTAGCCAGTTCCTGATTAGACATTTAGGTTATTTCTATTTCCAATTGTTCTACTATTATAAATAATACTATAATAAACAACTTCATGGCTAACACATCCAGTCTTGGTGGTGTGTATTGCAAAATAGCTATCTACATACACTCTTACCAGCTGTGCATGAAAATACCCATTTTTCCAACCCTTTCCAATGCTAAATAAAGTCATTGTTGATTTCATAGGTGGAAAATGGTTTCTTATTGTACTAATTTGCACTTAATTGCTAAGACTGAATTTCTTTCATAGGCTCATTGGTTGTCAGTATATTTTTTGAATTGCTTGTGCTTTTTCTGTATTATTCTTTCCATTGCAGTGTTTGACTTTTTCTTATTGTTTATGATAGTTCTTTATATAATAGCTCTTTGTATATTTTATATATACTAGACCACGTTTAACACTGATATTGAAATATTTTCCCCTGGTTTGTCATCTGCCTTTTAATATTGTTTGTAATACTCAAGCTGGGAAAACAGGTGGATGGTGGAGTTGGACAAACCTGGTTCTGCCACTCACCAGCAGTGTACCCTTATGCAATCTCTGTAGGTCTCTGGCTCCTTGGTATTAAATAAGGATGACAGTAGTACCTGAGAAGGTCTAAGGAGGAGGATTAGCTTTAAAGAAGAAAAGAGCTAGCTCTTTTAAGGCTAGGTAAGACCACGCTTAGAGTATCTTTTGGTGGGGATTAAGGCCACTGTAGGAACTGATACTGACTGGACTGTCTCTTTGCAGTTAAAGAGAAGGGAGGCAGAGCTTATCTAGGGAAGCTGACCCGCCCTCAGGCAGGGTTTCCTAGCATGGTGTGCACATGGAGGGAGTTTAATGTAGAATAACTGCTGATTCTCCTTGTACCGGACACAGTGCTAAGTGCCTAGGGACACAGGATGAATTAAGACCTGTTTTTTGCCCTCAGGGAACTTATAGTCCAATGATAGTGATGATGATGATGATACAGTAATAGTAATAATACTAATAGCAGCACCAAAATGCACTGAACGTGTACTATGTACCAGATACTGTTCTAAGCACTTTCCTCAAAATTTTAACTTATCACAGTAACCTATTATTATAATCTTCATTTTTCAGGTGAGTCTCAGAGAGTAAATAACTTGTCCAAGGCAGTCTGATGCCAGAAACGCATACTTAGTTATTCAGATATAAATTTAATGTAGCAAGTAATAAAATGGAGGGATACACAGAACATCATGAGGGCAAAAAAACACCATCCCACAGTCTGGTTCTCAGCTTCCAGAATTTGTCAGTGTACTCAGGCAGATCAGGATCAGAGGGATTGATCTGTGCTAAGTAGTCTTAATGATATGTAAATAAAATTGCTAATTTACAGTGAAAAGGCTGAGTGACAAGTGGTTCAGAACTCTAAGGTTCTTTGGTCAGAATACCCTTTGCCTAGAAAAAATTTATATTAGAAGCTAGATTATAATCACAAGATTGGCAGGGGCGGGGAATTACAGCAAAGGAAGGTAATCAAATGATCTTAATAGTGATATCATTCTTCATTGAATCCAATAAGCCATCAGTTGTAAGACAAATCTGATTTATATATCGCTAAGAAAATGCTGCAGATTAAACAATGACATGCCATCGATTGTTATGGTATATGTCAGTTTCACAGATGTTAGTATATGGGGAGAAGGGCAAGTCTTAGAATCAACTAATATTTATTTATAAATATCAATTAAGAATTTACTTAGTGGGGCTACTGTAGTGAAAAAGATTAAAATTGTCCCTAGGTTCACAGTGCTTATAGTCAGATTGGGGTGATAGGCAAGGCATAATGATAGTTTGACGATGAGCGCATAGTCAGTACATGGGACCAAATGAAACTGGCTAGAGTTCGATGAGTCGTGGGGTGAGGAGAGGCAAGGAGTCTGATAAGACATGATATGGAGAGCAGTAAGCAGGTACCGGATCACAGAAAAAAACCATATGTCACGTAGAAAAGCTTGAGCTTTATTCTAAGGACAGTGGGAAGTTCTTACACAGTTTTAAGCAGTTTGACACAACTATCTGAAAGTTAGCTCTGGCTCTAGTGTGGAGGGATTGGAGGGTGGGGAGCAAGAATAGAGATGGTGAAACCAGTCAGGTGGATATCACAGTAATCCAGGTGAATGACTGTGATGTCATAGTAGGCTAGCTACATAGATGCACAGATTTCTGATGCTGCTCAAGGATATTCATAAGCAGATTGAAATGCTTGTGTGTACTGGCCAGATCACTTTTTCCTTGAGCAGTGCAAAAGACAGCTAACTAGCCAAATTCTTGCTCTTTTCTATCTTCCCTGCAGACTCTATCTTCATTTATAATGTGCATTCTTTATGCTCATTACAGTACTATTTCTTCAATTAGGTTAGCTTTATCTATATGTAACAGATAGGTCATATCATAAGATGTATTGGTATGTGTGCTTTCTAGTTAAACCTTTATGGACTTAGCTGTCAGTACATCCCCCAGCCACCGGTTTACTAGTGCTTCCTTAAAGTGGGACATTGTATACATGGTTGATTTCAAATGTTACATTTTGATTTTTCCTTGTTTCAGCCTCATTGTAATTTTACCTTGAGGTTTTAGGGAAACCTTACCATCAGACATTAGCACAATTAGAAGATGGGCCTGATGAATATCAGAGTTAGAGTTGGGTGGAATTGTGGGTTTGTGTCTGGAACAACAAATGTGGAAAATTTGGTAGGACATCAGGAAATGAATAAAAGATTATTAAGCAGTTAATGGGACCCATTTAAATTTGAATACGTGGATTTGTGGTAGGCCAGTTCTAAGTTTTTGATCTTTCTGTGGCAAGTCGTTACAGCCTTGAAGACTACGAATGAGAGGCGATTAGAGAGGTCCAGGGTTGGATCCAGGTTTGAGCACATGACAAAGTTACACTCCATACATTCAGTAAACTTTCAATGAATACATGCTGTTTGCAAATAAAGTATCTAGAGAATCTGAGAGGTGATTCTGAATCAAGTAGAGCGTGTTTGCTTGTATCAGACTAGTAATTCAAAGATTAGGTCCTTGGCTCTGGTTCTGTATGACTTAGGAGTGAAGAATTGTAACTCTGCAGAGTCAAGGAAGGGGAGGAGTCCAGGGGGTTGACTGGTATCAAATAGGTGATACTTTGAAAATATTTTATTGTACAAATAAATCATGTTTATTTTAGAAAACAAGAAGTACATATGAGCATAAAAAGTAAAGTAAAACACTCATCATCCCCTTGTCTAGAGACAATCACTGCCAACTGATTTCGTTTCATGTTTTCCTGTACATATTTTTCATTGAAAATGGATAATACTATGCATACATCTTTCATATCTTGCTTGTTTTACTTAATAGACTATAGTTTAGACTTTTCTAGTTCTTAATAGTTTACAGATTTTCATGTTAATAATTACATTTCTATACTTTTATAATATTGTTTTTAACAACACTCTCCATTAGATGAGTATACCAAATTTAATCAATTCCATTTGCCATAGAATTTGAATTTTTTAAGGTAGTCAGAAGAAATGCATTTAAAGAGAAGGAAAACAAGAGGGGTCAGAATTTACCTAGAAAGATGACTGTGAATCCCAGGGAAGAGCCTAACAGTAGCAGTGATTGAATAATGAATGAAAAGGAGGAAGATAAAAGAAATATGCTAGCAGATAATACTGGTGACTGCGGAGAAAACTGATCCTTCCTGACTGTTCAATTCATTCTCTTAGGGAAGTGAGGAAAGTTCTGGTTTCTATGGAAGGAGGGCAGCAGGAAATGTCAGTTTTCAAAGGCAGAGATAAGAAATAAGGACTACAAGATGCTTGCTCCTAGTATTAGAAGGGGTCCCAAAGTGGAGGAAAACAGTAAGAAACTAACATTTCTTTGTGTATGCAGGAATGCACAAAGCATTGAGGTGTAAAGGACTCTGGTGTACTGTCTGGAGCCGGTGGCAGTTTTAAATCCTGGCTCTCCACTAGCTGTAGAACCTTAAGCAAGTTTCTTAGTTTCCTTATCAGTAAAATAGGGATAATAACATACCTACTTCAAAGGGCTGTGAGGACCACCAAAGATTAATAAGATATGAAGTGATTAGAACAGTGGCAAGCACTCAGTACGATTCAGTACACGGTAACTCTTATTTATACAGACTAGAACAAGGGCACCTGTTAAAAGAAAGGGAGCAGTAATTAAAGTGAGAACAAACTTGTAGCCAGAGTTCCAGTAAAGATACAAGCTGCATGCATTGAGAATTGATGAAGGAATTGATAAATACAAGCATATGGTCACTGAAGCATGTGTTCATGGGTACTGCACCTCACCATGGCATTCCATGTGAAGTGATTATGGACACATACGTTCAAAATCACTGTGTTTCTCCCCTCTAGCCCTGGGAGAGAGGCAGGGAGGTATAGCATGAAGCTAAACACTAAGTCCAAAGGAAAGAGAATCTTAAAAATTGAGCTCTTAGAACCCAAACCTAATTTCCTCCCTAGATGCCCTTAGAACTGTGGGAGTTTGTTTCCTATTTGGCTCAGTGGCCCAGTAATTCTCAGCCAGGAACAGTAGCCTGCTTCTCAACACTCCCCACACCCGTGGGCATTTGGAAATCGTGTGGGGACATTCTTGATTGTCAGAATTTCTTGGGGACATTTAGTAATCTGGCGCCAGGACCACTAAGTGCTCTTCAGATAGGCAGATAGTCCCACGTCCTGGAGGACTGCCTGCAGAGAAACACTGCAGTGTGAAATTCCGGTGGTAGGGTGAGTCAGTCCACTGTCTCCCCAGTCCAGCACCAAAAAGTAAGCCACGTGCTACAGGTTACGTACAAGTAGACATGAAGAGACTTATCTGTTCCACAGGAGATTTTGAGCAAGTCCTACTTGGGGTTGGAATGTCAGAAATCGCTGACAAATTACTTGCCTGTGTTTAGGGGCAGAGATTCATCTGTGGTCTTAGTTCCCTTGAGCACAGGAAGCCACCTCAACAGTTCTTCATGTAGGATGTGAGGGATCCCTACTGTAGATGCCTTCTTTTTTCCTTTCCTTTTCTTTTTTTTTAAACCAATCCCAGATAGTAGGTTGTGTGTAAGTTTTACTTGTATCTGCTCTTTTTTGCTAGGTCCCAACTTTGGGGGACTCTTTTATGACTATTAGAATAGGATATGCCGTGGGGAGAGGAGTGAGAGGTAACCTCCTTTTTAATATGAGGACTAGCATGAGCACATAATTACCGACTACGCTGTTAATCTTTTTGTGTGTGTGTGTCTGTGTTCATCTCAGGAGAGAAACCCTTTATCTGTGAAATCTGTGGCAAAAGCTTCACCAGCCGCCCCAACATGAAGAGGCACCGCAGAACTCACACAGGCGAGAAGCCCTACCCCTGTGACGTGTGCGGCCAGCGGTTCCGCTTCTCCAACATGCTGAAGGCCCACAAGGAGAAGTGCTTTCGGGTGACCAGCCCCGTGAACGTGCCGCCTGCTGTCCAGATCCCACTCACCACCTCCCCAGCCAACCCCAGTTCCTTCTGTGGTGAACACGCCCACAACCCCAGCCCCTCCAATCAGTATGAACCCTGTAAGCACTCTGCCCCCGCGGCCCATCCCCCACCCCTTCTCACACCTTCACATCCACCCACACCCTCACCACCCACACCACCTTCCTATCCCTCCGGTCCCTCACCTCCCCCCACCTCCAGCTCTCTTTAAGAGCGAGCCTTTAAATAACAGAGGCCAGGGGGAGGACACCTTTCTGCGGCACCTGGCAGAGAAGAACAGTTCAGCACAGCATCATTGACATCCATCTCCTTACGTGTGTTCTCCACGAGTTCTGTGCCCCTGTATGAGTTTGCAGAGAGGGAGTTGGTGAGCATTTCTGTAGCTGTCATACTCTCCTCAGCCTCCACCAAGAGCTTTGTCATTGTCCTGGTGAATCAGCACATCGGAGAGAGTGAACAAGAAGACCTTGAGCTCACGGAGGGAACTGTCATCCAAACCAGGGAACCACCAAACAAAAGCCCAATTTGCTTGCATTTTCTGGTGACTTTTATAAATTTCAGATACTCAAGACTTGTGGAATTTTATAATTTCATATCAGCTGATGAGGTATGCTTGCTTTTATATCCTGGACTTCTCCTCAAAGAGGGGACAGGCCTGGTTCCTTTGTACTAATCGGGAAGGCTGTGAGATTAATCCAGAGCATTAATTGTATCACTGTGTATCATAACAAATTCTTTTCAGCTTTTGGTGCTGGCTTCAGAGTTGAGCTAGCCATGTTTCACAGTATATCAAGCATTATAGAGAAAGACAGAAATTTTCTCCTTTGTGTAGCTCTCCTAACGCACTCTTTATTTTACTACAGAAATTATTTTAGAGTTTTTGTATAGACTTCTTTAGTAGTCTGTTTCTAAAATGAAATGTATTTCAATAAGCGGTGTAATTTTTTCAGTGTAGCTGGACCTATGTTGTAAAATAGAAAAAATTTTTATAATCACCAAAATGTGATTCTTAAAGATGCATATAACTTCTGTAGTTCAAAGTGATTCTTACATCCGTACAACTCAAAGGTGCTTCAGAGACTAGATGTATATGAGAGGGTCTCCAGACTGAGTTACTGCAAAAATGAGGTTTTGCTTTCAGAATTTGGCATAAGTACTTGGTAGTCTTTAAATCTCTGCTTAACACTCAAGGGTCTGTTGGGCTCGTGGACATGCTGTTCCCTCTGAGTTTCATTTGGTTCAGTAGTGTGTTAAATGGAATGATTTGCAGAGGGTTGAGCCTTTTCTGGGAAAGTCATTGCAAGGTTACCTGTTCTGAAAATCTGCGTAAAGCTGTCCCCCATCAAGAGGAGGAAGTAGGGGAGGTTGCTTCATCAGTCACCTCTAGTTCCCTCAGAACTGTGCTCATGGTCAGCTTTGCTGGGATGAGAGATTGAAGTCTCATAATACACTGCTTGTTTTGAGGTTGCTTTATTTTTCTAGCATTGTTATGTAAAGATGAAATAGTGCACTAAAATCGCAGACATCATGCTGCTGATAGTGGCTGAGAAAGTTGGATGAGAACACAATTGGTAATGACTTTCAAAACATCTGTTCTGTCAATGGGTATATCCACAACTTTGAGCTGTTGTGACACAGTTTAAATTGTAGTGAGGGAGAGAAGACGACGTTTTGCTGCCGTGTTCTCTGCAGGTAATTAATTATGTGATAGCAGCCTTCTTGGTGACAGCCACATCTCTAATTTGGAGCAGGTGACTTTTTCAAGTTTGGGGAACTTCAAAAGAGCATGGTTAATCAGGAGCTTATAGGAAAGGCTGAACAGAAGGGCTAACGTATTGGTTATGTTTAGCTGATCACATTTATCCAGACTCAGTATAGCTAAAAATTTTGTATTTTTTCATCTCAGTGAACTGAGTTACAAAGCTAGGTCTACTTTCTCTCTCTTCCCTCTCACTTTTTAACTATGAACTTTCTTCCCTTTTCTTTCCTCAGATTCTTCAGTCTTGGCCTGAATCAGGACCCTGGCTTTTATTTATTTTTTGTTTTTAATATTATATGTGTAGATATACTTCAAGCACTTTTCTGGCTGATTAGCTCTGTGATAGGAAAAAAATGGAACGTTTTCAATTGAGGTTAAGTCCCTATTTTAAAAATATCACATTCTCTATTAGCTCTTTGGTTTAATATTTCCAAGTTTTGTTTTTTTTCCTTCTGATTATTGCCTTTGTCTTCTATAATGAGCATAGGAAAATTTGGGAATAAGGCAGAAAAGTATCTCAAGACATACTTTTCTTCCTGTTTTTGGATATTACTGCTAAGGAATGTTGTTTTAAATATTTGTATACATTCTTGGAACACCCAAGTACCCAAACCAATAAGGAAAGTGAATTCCTTATTTATGACTGTTATATCTTTAGTGGCTGCCTCCCCTTTCTCCCCAAATCTCCTTTGCATTCCATGACAAGTCTGTGGATCTGCACCTTTGTGTGGACATACCATTATTCCACGTCCAAGCTTGTAAGTTAAAATGATTTTTTTAAGATGTAAATTTCAGCTTCGTTAACCAGTTACATCTTATTTTTTTCTAACTAAATTCAATCTTGGGCAGCAATTCTGAATTCTAGACTTGAGACCATCAAGTCAACCATTTTATGAGGTGTACTATAATTATACACTGGAAAATTCAGGTAGTCATGTTCGGTTTTTCATTCAAGTGAATATAGCCATAAGAAAATACCTGCTACATAGGAAAACCAGTATTAAGCAAATAATCACCACCACCCTTAACAGAAGCAAAAAAATGATTATCTTTTTTAAAAAACCAGCATTGTCACACAATACAATTCTTAGTGAAATATATTGTGAAACAATCTGGAAACTTCCATTGTTTTTTTCCCCTAGATAAGTATACCTTCCCTGACTTGGGGTTTGTGGTTGTCAGGAAGACTGCTCAGAACATGGTGACTCCTCATCAATGGCATATTACACATGCCTAGTAAAGTACATTGAGAATATCCATAGCATTAATACTTCTGAATATAAGAACTGCAGGATTAAGCCTTAAACATGTATGTGCATCAGGTTTAACATGCATAAGACTCAAACTCAGGGTTGAAAATTTGATTGGGGTCCTTTACTAAGATAAAAGGTGCATTATGTGGTGTGTTCCCTCCCACATATATAGCCTGGCACCCCGTGACTTCTTCAGAACTTATTACCTACTTGTTATCTTTTTATGAAAAAAAGAACTATGGAGGAGTTTGAGTTCTCAGCCCTTATCTGTGTTTAAATTTTAAAGACAACAAAGGCCACATTTCAGCATTATATAGATGTTAAATTGAGGCTGTTTCTCATGACTTAGTTTTACTGTCTTCAAAGGCTTGTATCATTGCTAGGGTTAAGACTTGAGGAAAATTCCCAAGGACTTTCTTGAGTTGATATTGTGGGGGATTTTTGTTGTTGTTGTTGTTTTGTTTTTTTTTCATTTTTCTATTCTTCTCATAGCTTTATCAATCAGATATAAACTCTTCCTTAGCCTTAATGGAAGGCTGCTTGTTGCTTTCTCAAACTGAGTCAAGAAAGCTCATAGGAGTTAGATTTTTACATTTGAATGAAAACAATAAGATGAACAGTTTAAAGGCATGTGGCTTCATTTCCACATGTAACTGTGATTTGATTCTTATTTTTAGCAAGCAGGAAAGTCTCCATATAAAACTCTACGGTAGTTCAATGTAACCTTTGCAGATCAGTTACATGTACTTTTACAGCTTACCATTTACATTAAGCATTCTAAATTAATGATTGGACATTATCATAGATGTACCATCTTTTTTTAAAACTTGGAAATACCTTTTCATTGTGGTTAGAATGCTTCCTATAATTGGATTGTCCCTCATATACTAACTGAAGGCAAAATACTCTGAAGAGATGCTTGTAAACTTTTCATTTTCTGCTGCTTAAAATATTTTTTCAGTTCTCATGCTTGTTGAATAGATATGTATGTTCAGCGTTAATTTTTTTTTCACTGGAAGTTTTGAATTTTAAGAAGATCAAGCAGAAATAGAAATCCATTACAGATGTATATATATTTAGTCCATCTTGCAGATTTCAGTTAGTGAAACACAGAATGGTAGGTGGGGTTAGAAAGAAAAGAAAAGAAAATGAAAGTTAGAGAACTCTTCTTTTTGAGCTACTGTAGAGAAGAGACAGCTCTCATTATGTTGCTGACCACATGGTGACCATTTCCATGCTGTTCTACACTGTATGTATGGGAAGTATTTAATGAGAAAGGGAGCGAGTTACATTTAAGAGTTTTATCAGCCTCTCCCATTACAAAAATCAACTCACCTGGAATTCTTCAGACCATAAAATTGAGCAAGTAAATGTTGGGTTTTAATTTTCCTTTGAGTAAACAAGATAGGAAATTTCCCAAAAGATCGTTTTTCCAGGAATGAAAGGTCATTAGCCATTAGAGATGGTGGCGTCGTTATGTACTGGCAACACCCTAGCTATCACGCTTCTGTCATCTGTAGCGTTTATAACAAATAACAATGACCTTCCAACCCCGGACACTACCTCGATAAAGCAAACCAGAGATCCTCTCTCCGCTTTCTATGGAAGCCATAAAAGTTGCCATCAATATATCTACTTTCATAGTTCTGTACTTTTATACTCTCTAGACTTTTTATAGACTTTATGAGCAGAGCTTTTTGTCTTAGAGGATAGGTTTTGCAAGATTCAAAGGAAACTCAAACTCCTTGGCTGTCCTAACTTTGAAGCTTTAGCTTCAGTAAATTTATTTAAAGAACTAGATAATGTACCATTTATCAGATTCTTCATTTAAGTCAAAGCTATTTTGCAGAGTTATATAACCAGAAAACACTTCTCTTTCTTATTCCCTAAGTAGAAGCTACATTGTTGTAAGAAACTACTTTCAAAGTGGATTTCTACCTTGTTAGACTCTGCATATAACTTGATAATATATGTATTGTCACAATATTCCTGGAGTTGTTTTTATTTCCCTGTGACAGGTCGGTGAGTGTGCATCTCTCTCTAATCCTCTGTTCCCTCACTGCAGCTTCAGTCTCTCTCACTCTGTTCTTGAGTGCCTTCAGAAAGCCAGCATCTTGGAACATTCTTTCCCCAATCTAAATCCTACCTCTGATGATTTCATTCTCCGTGAGTATTGGAGTTCACCCTTAGTCCAACTGAGTTGCCTCTACAAACTAGCTAAAACGTTGGGTGCGAATTTTTTATGTATTTCTGTTTTGTTCCCCCACATCATTTTTAGATTACATTT